GCGGGTGGAGGAGATTTGTGCGGCACTTCTGGAAACAGAGCAGGAACTGCACTCAATGCAACAGGAGCGGCTTGCAGCTTGTATTGGCGCTGAGAAGCACGAGCGACAGGTACTTTTGACGTCTGAAGATGATACGTGGAAGGTTCTATCAGCCTCTTTGTTGAATTCGTATTCTCTTATTGAACAAAGCACTTTCGTGGAAGAGGAGATACTCACAGCCACTGATTCTGTTCTTTTTGATGGTGACGCCCTTACCGACGTCAATTCTCTACGTAAGCAACTTCTTTTACCTGCAGCCAACTCGGTGGTAGCGTTATCACTCCTGGAACAGTACAAACAGTATTGTTTTGAGGAGTTTGTGTCGTATCTTACCGCTGTGCATGGTGTGCGGCTAGTGTCTGCCGTGGACAACAACACTTCTGCACTGAGGGATGAGTACGAGGTAACTCTCACTGCTCTTGAAGAACACCATTACCAGGAGCTGCTTTCACTGCAGAAGGAGAACACGGAGCTGCGCACAAACGTGACGTATCTCCGTCAGGACCTTGAACTCATGACAAACCTTGACCAGCTTGAGAAGGAGGAGGGAAAGGAGAAGGAGAAGGATATGGGCGTGAGCAGACAGCACACGAGGCACCCACACACCGACAGCCGCCGCTCAAGTTGGAGCAGTGTGAATGACGAGTCTTCCACCTCGCGGCAGACACGCACCGGCACGACGCTCGGCGGGTACATCTCCTCCTTTTTCCAGCGCCAGTCCTCACAAAGCGACCGAGTGGATGTGTCCACACCACCACCGCGAACTGCATCACCACGCTCGATGGCGGCGAGTCCCACACGGCCACCGCTGGCACCGGGCTCCCTGTCGAGGGCGAACCAGTTGATACCACCAACCAAGAAGCGGAGTCAACGGAAGGATGATTCCAGCAGCGCGGAGAATATTCAGATGTCATCGTTCTACGATTAGTGAAGAAGAACGAAGAGCGCATTAGAGGAGGAGAATGCGGTGGGGGAAGGAAACGGGAGGAAAGGTGCTCTGAGGTGGCAGAGAAAGAGACAAGTACGGTGACAGAGGACTATGGTAATAAAAAGAAGAAATATATATTTATTTCACTTCTCTTCAGTGTGGTGTTACCACTTTCACCCCATCTTTTCCTTTTACACATTGTACAAATCACAAGAGATAATACCAGTATGGCTGTTTATTTATTTTCACTCACTTGTACAGTTTGACTAGATTTACATAGCTTTATTCGGGCTGGGGACTTACCCAGCTCGTATTTTTCTCTGTAGTATTGATAATTATATGCATTGCTAATGGCAGCGAAAATGTGTACACTGTAGTAACTCACTCATGAACATCACCACTTTCCTGAGTGACATATTTCCTTATTTTCCTTTTTTTTTGCTCTGAAGATCTGCCTTCAAGAAGTTATTTCAACTAATTTTTAAAAAAAGCCATCTCTAAAGACAATATAAAAATGGTGAACGTTGCTGTTATTGGCGCCGCTGGTGGTATTGGTCAGTCCCTTTCGCTGCTGCTTCTGCGCGAGCTGCCATACGGGAGCACACTCTCATTGTACGACGTGGCGGGTGCCCCTGGTGTGGCTGCTGACCTATCTCACGTGGACCGTGCCGGTGTCACAGTGAAGCACGCCAGTGGAAAGCTCCCTCCCGTGCCGCGAGACCCCGCACTTGCCGAGCTCGCCCGTGGTGTTGACGTCTTCGTCATTGTGGCTGGTGTGCCGCGCAAGCCAGGCATGACACGTGACGACCTGTTCAAGGTGAACGCTGGTATCATCATGGACCTCGTCCTGACATGTGGATCAGCATCCCCCGATGCTTGCTTCTGCGTCGTCACGAACCCCGTGAACAGTACAGTGCCAATTGCAGCGCAAGCACTGAAGAAGCTCGGTATCTACAACAAGAACAAGCTCTTTGGCGTGAGTCTGCTCGATGGACTTCGCGCCACACGTTTCATCAACAATGCTCGTTACCCACTCTCCGTGCGCTCTGTGCCTGTTGTGGGTGGTCACAGCGATGTGACCATTGTGCCTCTCTTCTCGCAGATCCCCGGCCCTCTTCCGGACGCGTCAACCCTTGAGAAGATCTGCAAGCGCGTGCAGGTGGCAGGAACAGAGGTGGTGAAGGCGAAGGCGGGTCGCGGCAGTGCAACGCTGTCGATGGCGGAGGCGGGCTCCCGCTTTGCCATGTTTGTCGTGAAGGCAATCACTGGACAGGACTCACCGATGGTGTACGCCTTCGTTGACACAGATGGCCACCACGAGTGCCCGTTCCTTGCAATGCCTGTGGTGCTCGGTAAGAACGGTATTGAGAAGCGCCTGCCCATCGGCCGCATTACCTCCACTGAGCAGCGTATGCTCGATGAGGCTGTTGCTGTGGTGAAGAAGAACATTGAGAAGGGAGAGGCGTTCGCTCGCTCGAAGCTGTAAGCTCCATACACAGTGCCTACCATATCCCGTATTTTCCATACCCTTCGTGTTACTCCATTAGTTTGGAGTGATGGGAAGAACCGTTGGTGAAGTACATTAATGAAATGTGAGGTAGTTAATTAGCAAAAGAAATTAATAGGTTAATTGATTGCGTTAGCTTAAGAAGGGAAAAATAGAAAGAAAGAAAGAAAAAAAGGGGACTCATGAAAGGGATTCGTAAAAAAATGCTATCACTTTTTTCAGAGATGTAGCCGATGAAAAATGAAATCGGTAACACTAACAAGCATTGAAGAAAGGAATGATTGAGTGAAATACTAGCACTTATCATACCCCCGAGTGTGTAAAGTGGCCTAGCTCGTATATGAATTGATCTGTTTTGTATTAAAGAAAGGTTGTTGCTTTTTCTTTTAATTCAAAAGAAAGTAATGTTTCTTTACGTACTTGTGATGTTTTTTTAAATATATATGTTGAGTTTTTTTTTTTTTTTTTATCCTTTAATCTCTGAGGTTCGTGAAGATGGTGCAGGTTGGTGTTGATAGACCTTAGTGTAAGAGACAACTTTTCTTTAACGTCCGTATTTTTTTTTCTTTTTTTTTAATATGTTTAATATAGTGTAATTATTTTTTCTTTTCTTTTAATTTATTTAGACAATGCCTTCTCCAGTTGTTTTAACACGTTCCACACCGGCACGTGGTCTTTCTATTAAGATGTTCGATCGTCAGCTGAAGGGGTTACAGCGGTGTCTAGTGGATGCACCTTCCTGTGATCTCCATAAACTGTGTGCAGAGCAGATGTTAGATCGCCGTGCCTTTGTTAAACGGGATACGCCTGTGGTATTGGAGGTTGGTGCACATACCGGTTGGTTTTTTCGTCATATGTTGGAGAAGAAACAATTGTTTGGTCTTAAACAGTATATTCAAACGGATGTATGTGAAGAACGTTTGAATCGTAACTATGATGAAGTTAAACATCTTATTCCTCCTGATGTGGAGTTTGTACAAATCTGTTGTGATGAGGAGGAAATGAATCCTTTTGGAATTCCTGAACGAACTGTGGATATGGTGGTTTCTTGTTTATCTATGCATTGGGTAAATGATCTTGAAACGGCTATGGTAAATATTCGTAAAATACTTAAAAAGGATGGTTTTATGTTACACACTATGTTTGGTGGTAATACATTATATGAATTACGTGGTTGTTTTTCAATGGCACAAACAGAAGTACTCGGTGGGGTATCACCGCATATTTCTCCTATGATTGATGGGGCTGGTCTTTCCACATTAGTATTACAAGCTGGATTTAATCTTCCTAGCATAGATATAGATCGTCATTTACTTTTATATCAAACACCTTTTCATCTAATGGAACATTTATCGACTATGGGAGAGAGTGCATGTCATTATATGCGACGTCCTCTTAACCGTGATGTTTTATTAGCTGCCTGTGCTGCTTATGATGTAATGTACAAAAAGAATGAACTTATCCCTGCAACTTTTGAAGTTTTTCATACTATTGCATGGAGTCCAAGTCCAACACAATCGAAACCATTGGAACGTGGAAGTGGTATGATACCTCTAACCAGCTGGAATTCTCAGAATAGGCAGCGATTACAGGATGTACTAGATGAGTTCGCACAAAATCCTGATGATGAATCATTGCAAGCGAAGGCAGAAGATTTATTCCAGAAACTCCGAGAAGAGAGTGCAGAGTTCCTTGAGAAAAAGGGATTAGATGTACGTGGACTTGATGGTAACCGTGATGAAGAAGCGCGGGAATTGGAGAAGCGTAAGCCAGACCCACCATTTCAGCGTAGTGAGGGAAAAGATGAATAGGCAGTGTATATATATATATATATTTGTAGGGTATTGGAAATAGAGGGGGAGGTATTTAAGGATGAGAAGGGGACGGAGAGAGAGAGAGAGATGATATCATCAAAAGACATACACATAACGAAGACAAAGAAGTAGAAGACGGTAATTCAAAAGAAAGTGAAGGGAAACAATAACGAAAAAAGAAAAAGGGCTACCAATAGTAAAAGAGATAATGAAACTCTTTCTGTGTGGCTGGTTGTGGAGATGCATTTTATTTTATTTTATTTTTTCGTTCTTTTTGTGAAGCTGGAGAGGTTGTGAGTACTTGCTGGCAACCTAGATACTTATCTGTGTAGACGGTAAAATTGAAATGAAAAAAAAAAAGGATATCTCTTTGTTTATTTTATCTTTCTTTTTTTTTCTTATGTGTCTCTTCTTCTACCTCTAGTGTTTCAAAAGAAAAAAGAAGTGAAATTTTTTCTTTTGCTTTAAGAGAATCTTTTTTTTTTTTTTCCTCTCCAATGAAAAAGGGAAGCGGTAAATCAGCAGGAGTGGAAGGTCAGGGTAAGTCCGACTCAGCACTTGACATGCAGTTTTGGAACTATTTAAAGAAAGGTGATGTTGATGGATTAGAAGAGATGCTTTTACGCCGTGTGGAAGACCCAGAAACTGGTGCTGTAACAGAAGAAGTGAATCATATTGTTGCCCAAAAACTTGTAAATAGTCCAAATGCAAAAAAGATATTACCACTTTCCTTTGCGGTTAGTCAAGGAATGGATGAACAAGGATTACATCTTCTTTTACGAGCTGGTGCTAAAGTAAATGGTAAAGATAGTGCTGCTGAACAGGCAACCGCATTACATACAGCCTGCTGGGGAGAAGATGATATTGCTGCTGCCCTTCTTCTTCGCTGTGGGGCAAATCCTCTCATTACAGACGCAGATGGACGAACACCTTTGCATGTACTCGCCTCACTAAATGCAGCGGCTCTTTTTTCATATATTCTGGAAACTGTAACTACACCAAATGTAGAACAGGAGGGTGTTCTCTATTTGGAAGGTCGTTCACCTGTAATGGTGTCAGCGGATGAATTACTAAAGAAAAAAGATAACGCTGGATTTACAGTTCTTCATACATGTGTATCAGAGATCAGTAGTGGTTCTAATCGTGTGGTTTCAGAATTATTGGATTATTTGGAAACAATGGCAGGAAAAAATCCAGAGAGTGTAAAGAGTTTGGTAAATATTTCAACAGAATCGGGTAGTAGCGCTTTACATATTTTATTATCCTCACCAAACAGTGATGAAAATATTGTCATTCAGATATTAGAACGTCTCTTAAAGCTTGGAGCTGATCCCACAGCCATTGATGTATGGGGTTACACTCCTCTGGCTGTTGCTATTATGGCCCATTCAGGTATTGCAGTATCAAAGATTTTGCAAATGCTTTTAGTGCAAATGAGTACAGAGGAAAATGTGATGGGAAAACTGGAGAAAACATTTTTACAACGTGATAGTAAAAAAGAATATGCACTTATTCATCATGCCATTGCACGACGAAACATTGAAGCTGTTAAAGTTATGGTAAATTTTATTAAATCATTAGATGAAAAAAATGGATCACATTTCATTAAAGGATGGATAGGGGATGTAATCGCGGAAGATGATATGAGTGTGGTTCAAATGGTTGTTGATACTATGTGCGATGAAATTGCAGATATATTGATTACGGCTCATGCTATTGATGAAGATGTTTATAACCGCCTTAAAAGTGAACATAAAGAAAAAGAACAACAACAACAAAACATCAAGAAATCAAAGTTAGGTGTTAATAAAGATAACAACTCGGATGAGGAGGATGAAGAAGAAGAAGATGATGATGATGATAGTGAAAGCAGAAACGATCAAACTTCTAAAAAGAATACTGGTGATTTTTCAGGTTTTGGTTCTGCCAACATGGCCTCGGGATCACGGGTTCAACAAGCACGTAAAGCCAGAGCACAAGCGGCTGCACAGCGAAGGAAAAATCCACAAACACGGGCTGGAGGTGAAGGCATGCAGTTTAATAGAGAGGGAATTCCCCTCTGGGCAAAGATTGCATTTGGGTTTTTAATACTCTCAATGATATTAAGGGGCATTAGTTTGCTGCGTGGGAACACAAAAGCACTTCAATAAAATGAGCAATTACGTCTATATACACGCTTTTATTATTATTATTATTATTATTATTATTATTATTATTATTATTATTATTTATTTTTGCTGTCCTCTACACAATCTCTTTTTACTTCTTCTTTTTCTTTCTTTTACTTCATTTGTACTATTTTCATCACACCAGGGCTGCCTCTTTGGCTGCCCGTAGAGTTGGGTTGGGTATAAAGTTTCTCTCTCACTCTATCTATCTATCTAATATATATATATATATATATATATATATATATATATATTCATTCTGAGGTTTGAATTCCATATGTCTTTTCGAAGAACTTCGCCGCCTAAACGGCTCCCATCGCGCTGCGCTTCGGGTATTCGACCGCCGCCGGATGTTCCCACCTACCGAGCATCCCACAGTCAATCATCCAAACGAAATTACAGTGATAGCTATAAGAATAGCATTAACAAAACCCCAGGTTCTTCTGGACGATTTGTATTGGCACCACAGTTATCACCTATTCAGATGACAGAACAGCAGCGAAAATATGAAGTTAATGGAAATTGTCGAGAGGAAAATAGTGATCGCCGACAACTGACATTTCTTGAGAAGGATTCTTCTCCATTCCCTAGAACACCATTAATGGAGTATAGTGTTAATTCTTCACTAAAGAAGAAATATAATTCAAATGGAATTTACAGTAATGAGGCTAAAAAACCATCACGAAATGTTTACCGAGTTCCTCTAGACGGATCGAATAAAATGTCCGATTTGAATTTTGTAGGGTACAACATTCTCAAAAATATAAAAGTAACTGGAATTGTAGATGTAACGCCAAGTCAGTGGCGTTTAGATATTGATCCTCTCTCTCACTGTGTAGAGATGCAGGTTAGGAATATAGACCCAAATGTCTACCCAATGCGCCGTCTTTGTCGTTTAATTCAAAAGAAAATGACTCATCGAGAAGGTAATGATAATGTAGATACCTTTCAAAGGTCACATCCAAGGCGTGGATCATTGATTATTAACAAGAAAGAAAATGATCACTTGCAATTTTGGGGTAATCTTCCTAATACAATTCTTTTACGGGGATCAACTGCTTTAGCTGATGTGATAAATGTAGATAAACTCCCCTCAGAGTGTAATGATGATGATAATAATAATGATGGTAATAGTAGTAGTGGTGAAACTGTGGTATATTTTCGTTGGATTGAAGGACCTCCTATAGAACTGATTGTGGATGCTAACTCTGTCACTTCTGAGGACCAAGAGAGCGAAAAAAATTATGATTATAATGAAAATAAGGATGATATACTCAGTGTTAATAAACCAGTACCATCATCATTGAATTCCCAAGCTCAAATGGGAAACGGAAAGAATAATTGTATTTATCATGATCATGAAGATAATAACTATAATGATCAAAACATAATTCCTCCAGTATCTGAAGGAAGTTATATGAAAGATGGTAATAATCATACCCATATCGAGTCCACTAAAAAAGAAGGGGATATTTCCAGTAATAACATTGTACATTCTACAGCTCCTATTGCTATTTCTCCCATAACGTATCTACAGGGTCCATCCATTTTGTACCGAGATCCTTGACAAACACACTCTCATCTATGTTTGTAGTGTTAAGTAATATTGAAGGAGAACTGTATTGTTCTGTATTATTATTATTATTATTATTATTATTATTATTATTATTATTATTTTTTTTTTTTTCTTTCTTTCCCATTTGAGTCTTGTTACATACAGATACAAGCAAAATATTTTTAATTATATTATTTATCATTTTTTTTTTTTTGTGTGTGTGTTAACTATAACTAGAGGTTTAACGCCTATGACTCCTATCGTTATTGTATTACAAGCTTGCAAACTAGAGATGAACGGTGTGTTGAAATGAAAAAGAAAAAAAAAAATACGAGATATTATCTACCTCCAAGAGCGAAAACGATTTATTGAGTAAACGAAAGAAAAAAAAGAAAAAGAGGGTTGGGGAGAAAAAGGGAGAAGGAGTAACTGTGTGAAGGACCTTCTTAATCAAGAACCTTTTTTTGAGAGGTTATAGATTTTGTAAGGTTTCAATTGAGTTATCTCTATTTTTTCTTTTCTCACCTTGACATTCTTTATATCGGACTACTATTAAAACCATAAACCCCTCAAAAAAAAAAAAAAAAAAAAAGTAAAAGAATTTCTTTTTCTTTTTATGTTTTTGAATAATTATCGTGACGTGCTTATGTGTGTATTCTCTCCACCATCTTGTTAAATAGGCTGAAGTAATGAGTAATGATATCATGGAGTTTTTGGAGAGCCGCCCGCTAGTGGGATTTCAAATGGACGGATCTCATCTTCACAATGTGCTGCGGAACATTATTCAGGAGATGCAGCGGCAGGCCCAGAGCCAGGACCAACTACACCAACGCCTGGCGGACATTGAGGATGATCTGCGTGATGTTGGGATGCGGCAGAAGGGGCTGGAGAGGGCGCTGGCCAGCGTGGACCCCGACGCCCTCCGCCGCCTGCAGCAGCAGCTGGACGAGTTGGACCGCGCCCTCGACCACGTCGCGCGGGATGCGAAGGAGGCGCGGCTGCTCGGCGACGAGGCGGCGGCGGCGGCGGCGGCGGCGGGCCGCGGGGTGGAGGACGTCGGGCGGGAGTTGGCGGCCGCCCAGCAGCAGCAGGACCAACTCCAGCAGGACATGGACGATCTCGCCCGGGAGGTGGAGCGGAAGCAGAAGGACCTCGGCACCGCCGTGAAGGAGTTGGAGCAGGAGCAGGCACAGCTGGCGGAGCAGACACAGGAACTCATGCGGGATGTGGATCGCAATGATGGGGAAAAGTGGAAGAAGTTACGGGATATGTTGGATGAGTTGTGTGAAAGGACAGATAGGAATTTCAGAAGTGTGGAGGAAAGTGCACGTGCTGTGGATGCAGAACTCGCCCATCATCGTTCAGACATAGATACCGTTCAAGGCGATGTTGGATCCCTCGATGATAAGATGCGTCAAGGACTCTCAGGTATTGCAAAGGATGTGGATGCGAAGTATCAGATGATTCTTGATTTGCTGCGTAATCATGAGAAGAGTTCATTGGAGATTGAACAACATCTGGTTGCGGCGGGAGAAGCCCTCGCACGACGGCAGAATAATAAATCGCAACGTATCTCCTCTGGTAATCGTGGATATGATCAAAATGGTTCTCGACATAATGACTGGTAAGGTGTTGTCTTTGTCTTTGTTGTTCTTATGGATAGATCTATTATGATTGTCGCTCTGTATTTCATCTTATTATTGGTTTTGAGTTTTTATGAGGTTAGAAGAAGCACATTTGGTTGCTTGCGGAATATTGTGAGTGTAGAATGAAGTAAGAAAAACAAGGAGAAAGAAGAAAAAAAAAAACAGTAAAGTGAATATATATATATA